GTTTACTATAGAGTCACATGCATCATAATTTTAGCCGAAAACGTTAAGCTTAGTTTTATATATTATTTTACGTCAAATAGTCGAGATAATCCTTAAAAACAGATTCTCTCAATGTTTCAAGGATCGAATTTTTGAAATTGTTCTTTGATAAATCAGATTTGCATCGACTTCTTGTCTACGTTCTGATTTATGATAAATTAAATCTGCCCATAGAAGTAACTTTTTGCATTTCGGACAATTTCCGGAAACTGGGAGCAATTGATTCTTTTCCTCTAATAAAAAATCTTTCGCCAAGCAGATTACATGACTTGCCATTTTACAAAACTTTGATGGATTAGAGATGGAGGACGAAGTAGCGGGTAAACATGTCATGTACTCATCAGATGCCTAACAAACGGGTAAAAAATTAAGAAAATCCAGGCCTTTACGAAAACAATAAAACTCATCAGCAGTAAAATGACCAAAACCTCATAATCGATAGGCAGGTGACAAACACTGCATGGCGTATTCTGTTCCTTGTGATATTCGTGATTCTCAAAGATTTGAGCACGTAATCGAGCTTAAAACAAGCATAAATGTAGAAATCAATATTAAGAAATTATTATTGCAAATACCCACAATTTACCTCTTGTTGCACCTTTATCAGCAAATGTATAAGACATTTTCTCCAAGGGTCCATAAGTAATCTTGACATGTTTTGGAAACTTGGAGAAATCCATTTTCTTCGCGACGTTAGACTCGACAATATGTAATTTCAGTGGCCATCGACTAAAGTACCGAATTCGCATCAATTCCATTAGTGTATCAAGTTTTCTAGGCAATTTGTTCGTAGGTCGTTTTTTATTATGCAAATGACGTGAATGTCCTTCTTTTTGCCACGCCCATTCAAACTGAGTTGCGGCTCGTGAAGAAGGAAAACCGTGTACGAGTAATACATATGCCCAAGGTCGTTTAGCAACGGTTTTCGCTGCACCTGCTGCCAATTCTCCATTATGTTGCCGTAATCGACGAAGTGGGTCTGGGGTTGTACCTATTTGTAAAATTAATTAAATCTTTAGAAAAATCTTCATTAATTCACAACGAATAACATATTCCCTCACCAATATACACATAATCAGCATGCTTTTGCTGCAACGACCTAATCAAATAGCAGCAATAGAACTCCGGGAAATCATCCTTTGTTTGTTCCTCTGTTGCAAATTCTAAGTTATTCATTCTTTTTTCAGCTTTCGAAAGTCTTCTTTTACGTTTCGGTAATTGATAGGTTAAATTCTCTTCAGGAGAACGAGTTTTTGGACTCGGCGCTAAATTTCTAAAAAGTCTTGTAAGCGATCTTTTCTGTTGTTTATTGCGAGAAAGACCAGAAGAAAGAATCTGAGGAAGCGAAAGAGGTGGTATTTCTGAAATGGAAGTTTTAGGGGTCGAAGTTTTAGAGGTTGTAGTTATTAGATTTGAAAAAATGAGCGCTGGAGCTGGAAGCTTTTTTTTTTTGGCTTGTACTGTTACTATTTCTGGTGGTCCAGGTTCTACTGGTGGTTTTGTAATTGGTTGAAGTTTCAGGCTAAGTTTTTTTTTCAAGTTAAAAGTTCGTCTCAAGAATTTTTTGGCCATAAAAATGTTTCATTTTTACGTGATATACATTTATTTACGCGTCTACAGATCGACATTAAATTACTATAAGTACATATACATCTACTAATAAATTTATATCTTTGATTTCTTTGGAGTCATTCTATCATACACATAAGACGACAAATAATTCTTGGGAGGGGCCACGTGGTAATGAAGATTTCGAATATCAACCATCTCTGGTCGAATATCTGCCAAAGATTTGGCACCGGCAAGACGCATCGCCATCTCCAATTCATCCTTCAGTAATTGCAGTAATCTCTCGACACCTGGTTGTCCATAAGCAGACATCGCGAATAACGAGGGTCGACCAATCCCAACAGCTTTTGCACCTAATGCAATCGCTTTAAATATGTCTGTGCCTCGACGCACACCACCATCCAAATAAATCTCTAGTTTACCCTCATAACCCGCATTCTTTAATGCGTCCACAACTTCGGGGAGTATTTCTATTCCGGAGCGAGCAAAATCTAATTGACGACCTCCATGATTCGAGAGTACAACACCAGCACATCCATGTCTAGCAGCCAATACTGCATCTTCTGCAGTTTGAATTCCTTTTATTATAATTGGCATAGAGGTGATTGACTTGAACCATTCCAAATCGTTCCAATTCAAACCTGGATCAATAAAGCTTGAAATCGCGCGTGTCGCACCTAAATTACGTTCCACATGTTCTCCCTCTTGTACATCTGGTGGCTCCGCAAGAAATTTAACTCGCATATCTTTTTCGCGTTTACCCAATTGTGGCGCATCAACTGTAATAAATAATGCTTTACATCCTTTTTCCTCTGCAGATCTCACTACTCGTTCCGTGATTACACGGTCACGATGTACGTATAATTGAAAGAATTGTATTTGATCCTTTCCACGTGCATCCGTCATCTCGTCAAGTGAACAAGATGCTAGTGTCGGTATCATTTGAATAATCTTGTGTGTATTTGCGGCTCGAGTTAATACAACTTCTCCTTCAGGATGTCCTAATTTTCCCAATGCGGTAGCCGAAATATAAACTGGAAATGAGGACTCATAACCGAGTAATTTCGTGCTCATATCGATTTTACTAACATCGATCATTACTCTTGGTCGTAGCCAGATACGATGAAATGCGCTTTGATTTTCGCGCATTGATATTTCGTCGTCAGCTCCAGAACTGTAATAGGCCCAAGCTTCTGCACCTAATATCTGCGAAGCAACCGCCTCAAAGTCATATACATTAAGCATTTCGCTTAATGATGGTTTATTTTCGTTGGCCTTACGACGACGTTTTTCCTCTTCCGTTTCTAATTTAGCAGTATGAACGATTGTCGCCGGGTCAACAGCACCAAGACATACCTCAGGCGAAAGATATTTACTGATGATATCTTTTGGATGAATCTGATCAAATGCAGCAGTAGCATCTTTACCGGCTTGCTTAAGAATAACATTTTGTCCGCCAGGATGTTCCGGAAGAAAAGCAGTAAGATCATAGACTTTTCCATGAATTATTACCCAGCAATCTTCCTTTTTATTGTGTTTTGCTATCTCTTGTGCAGAAATAAGTTTCATATTTTTGACGTGTTAATATTTACAATAATCAATGTATTTTATAGTTTTACAACCGCCGAAAAGTGCAAGTGGTCTAATTAATAGATTTAATAATTTTCTAAGCTTTGTGTTTATGCGTAATCGAAGTAAGCATAATAAAAAAAAAGGCGAGAAAACGAAAGGGCGAACGACTTAATTTTGACGTAAAATAATATATAAAACTAAGCTTAACGTTTTCGGCTAAAATTATGATGCATGTGACTCTATAGTAAAC